ACTACTTTCGCCTTATGGTACTGTTTTTAACCACTTCATTGTTTTAGTTTCCCCCTATGGATACTAAGCTCATATATATATAGGGTTTTAGCCAGAAAAAAACGAAGTAGGCCATCCAAAAAGCCAGAGGGCGGGCATGCCCACTTGGGGCCATGCTGCGGCCTTGTTGAAAAACACCATTGTGGTGAACAAGTGTTTCTGTAGTTAAATAAAGTTTTATTATTATATATGCCCCTTCCCAAAAATAAGGAAAAAAAAGAAAATTAATATCTTAGAGAGCATTTAAAGGTGTTTAAATGTTGGAATTTTGTCTTCAAAAGAATAGTGTTGAATTAGCTATCACAAATACATTTCAGTTATAGACATAAATTGCGCACGGCTATGGTTCCTCACATAGTGTCATAGTCTAGTGTAAATTCTAATCTAGGTCCTACAAATCGAGAGATAGGCCTACAGTAGATCTACTGTATTTTGTTGACTAATAAAATTTAATTGTGACGTTAACAACAAATATGGAATTTTACAGGAAATTTTTGAAAGAAGTTTGTACTCACTGATCAATGAAGGTTTTAAGGTTCTGGAGGAAGGAATAGCATCAAGAGATGAGGAAGTTGACATTATCTGGTGAGTTTAAATGTCAAAATTGCTAGAGTAGGCCTATAATACATGTGCAGGTAAAAATGTTATGTTGAAGGTTTGAGTGATTGATGAACAATCACAGCAAACTCATCTGGAAATGTTTTTTGTTTTGTTTTTTTGTTTTTTTAAACAGGATCTATGGTTATGGTTGGCCAAGGCATATGGGTGGACCAATTTACTACGCAAAGCATATGGTTGGCTTGCCAAAAGTCTATGAGAGGATCTGTTATTACCATTCCATATACAGTGAGTGTTATTTATTATGAACAGGAATTCATTAATCAGCTCGATTGAGGCTGTGTGAGAAAGTCTCCACCAGATTTTTGGAAGGTATCCTTTAAGAGCGCCCTCTTTAGTTTAACCTTCATAAACTTAAAACATTATGTGTGAGTAGTTGTTTTAAACATCATGGTCAGAAGTTAGTGAATCCTCTAGTTTTTCAGATGTTCTGAATGATTAAAAATACTTTTAGTGTGTCCGACTACGTTTTCAAATGTCCCCCGCCTGGAAATATGTCTAACTTGGAATCTTTGCCTTAACATTGGCACTAGTTCACAATATGTTCATTGTCCAGGGTTCACAATGTAAACTAAGTTATTATGAGTTATTCTCCTCCTTTGCCATTTTTGTAACACTTAAACTTGCCTAAGTTGATCTTATTTTACATGCCAAATTGCTGTGTTTTCCATTGATTAACAATCTGTAAGTCAAATTTTATCTAAGTCGAACAATATTTCAATGGCATTTTGGATTCAACTTAGTCAAGTTCAACTTTTTTTTATTTTATTCTTGTTTTTTTTATATATTTCAGAGGATAGTAGACACTGGGTTCCAAGTACCTTGCTTAAGAAGATGGCATCACAGCAAACATCAAGCAAACTCTGAATACCAAACAACTCAAGCTTCGTAGAAGAAATTTTATATAATTTTATATGTAAATTACTCGATGAGTTAAAATTATTTATAAATAGGTATCTGAATTATAAATGCTCAGATAAAGAATATTTATGATTGATAATAAACAATGGTGCTAAAGGCAAGCCAATTAATCTATCAATATAAGGATAGATATATGAGAAATTATTTGATTCAGTTGGGTGTAATTTGTGTGTTTTTGATGAAAATACTTTATAAAAACATAAATAAGGATGAGTCTGAATTTCTTAGAATTGAAATGAAAGGCCATAAATACAGGTAGCAAAACATTGCATTTAGAACATTTTAGCCTTTGTAGGCACCCACCCAATAAATAATAATAATAAATATCACATTGTGATAAAATCGTTAAGGGTATGACACATCTTCTTTTCTTAAGGAAATTGTGGTCATTCAATGTTGATACATGTATAGTGTCCCTTCTGTTTCGAAATTATGCACGGTTTGGTGGTTTAAGAAATATAGACTGTAACAGAATACAATATATTATGAATCAGACTGGAAAAAAATTCTAACTAAAAACAGGCAACTCGATGGTTAAAGGTTAAACTCAGAAACCTGTAGAACAAATAGATAACTCAACTCATTCATACCACTATCCATTAGAATTCTTAATCATAATAATATCAAATAAGTTTTGTATAATTTTGATTCCTGAAAAGGACACAAATAAAGAAATCTTTAATCTTATTGTTGTGGGAATTTGTATGTTGTTTTTTTATTGCTTCTCATAATAAAATGACCTAGAAATGAATTATCATAGCTGTATTTGCAAATAAATCTATAAATTAATTTTAGAATTGTCGTCATTATGATGACAACTGCTTGAAATGCAATGTTAGACTTGAATTGAGCTTTTCTATAGCCTTCCCCGGTATCTATTAGCCCAGGATTTACAATTGAATCACAGGTCACACAAATATCCATATTTATTTTTTTTAAAAACCGTATGTACATACATTATGCATATAATATACCATTTGAATTTATATAAAACTTGCAATGGTGGTGTTCCTTCTTATTAAAAACCTTCACAAAATAGGATGCATACATTTCATTTCCTTTGACTACTACAGGAAATGGAAAATCATCTCTTGTGAGAATCAATCGATGAGCTGATAATTTACTCCAATATTTACAATCAAAGGCTTCAATTTGTCCATGGTCAGTGTTGGGGTTGTGAGAAAATTTACCACTTTTAAAATGTTGTGATGTTGAGTTTTTAGTCAAGAAAACAACCAGACGATAATCCTGGACTAACTTTTGTAGTAAATCAATAATGTTGTCTTGTAATGCTTCAAAGCTTTTCCAATTATCACCAGTTTTAACACGATCTTCCCAATAGAAAGATGACACACTATCTAACATCAGTACAGTCATTTGAGGATGCTTGGAAAATACATTTTCCATTGAATGCAGAGTAATTAGCAGTTGTTCAGAACTACTGCATCTTACTAGATATAACCGGTCTAAACAAGATTGAACAAGTTCTTCTAATACTTTTTCATTTTTTATGGTCTGTTGATCTTTCTTGCTAGGTTCTTTTGAATGTGTTTTACTAGATAATGTTTCTGTTTGAGCCGCCCATGAGCTAGTACATATATCGTTGGAGTCTACATCAATAATTTTCATCAGTTGTTCCTTCAATATCTGGTATAGCCTGATCACTGAGAATTTAAAGTCTGTATCAATTAAAACAACTTCTGCTTCTATGCCATTAATTAATAATGTATTCCAACGCTTTGGAAGTATACACTTAGAAATGAAGTGCATAAGGAGTTCAGTCTTGCCGGTTGCACTGGCTCCATGTATCTCTACAACTTCCCCTGGCTTAGGGAAATGAGAAGGAAACAAGTGTAGATCCAGAGACTCCAGGGATGGTTTGGAAGCTAGCCTCATGAACAGCTGGAAGTAAAAAGCAAATACGACACTAATGTCAAGTGAATAAAAACTTGGAAAAAAGATTCTAACTATGGAAAGGTCATCAACAATTTCTGTATCAGTGGCAGGTCCAGGGGATTGTATGAGATGAAATTGCAGAGGTTTCAAGTTGAAAGACAATTTCAGGAAATCTGTAGGACTTGGTGGGTTGAAGAATCTGAAATAGGGGGGCCCAGGGACTTCCACAGATGGAGGGTATACAAATTAAGGGGGAGCAGGGGCTTAAGTCCCCCCACTGTACAGTTCAAGCCCCACCATTGGACAAAGCTCATCAGGCAGTTGGACTAAAAAATATAGAAAAATAGGCCCACGCCAAGCCAACACGTCTGTCACAATCAGAGTGTCATTTCTAGCCATCCAGAGGTTCCTATTCTAAAAAAAAGTCCCCCTTGTCAGACAGCTCAGCCCCTCTCTTCCCCCCCAGAAAATATATCCTAGAGCCTCTCTGCACACAACATTCTCTACTATTACAGACTCAACTGTTTATTATTTCATTTTTTTTTTTATTAAAAAGATCAGAAATTAAAATTTTGGCAAGTTTATTTCAAGAACAAAATAAACAAAGTACACTTTTATTCTTTAACCATATAATAATTTTGAAATAAAGTTTCAGTTTTATTGGGTTTTTTTTCTTCCACAATGAAGGCAATATGCAAGAAAGGGCAACAAAAAAGCTAATTAAATAAATTTATCTTCATCTCAACAAAGAATTGAATGCTGCCCTCATTTACACCGATCAACTTTAGCCTACTTATAACTTTATAAACGGCGAAAGATAGGCTAGATAGGCCTTACTCGGTCATTTGATTTGTCGCCATAGGATCTACAAATCAATGAAGTTTAACATAATTGACATTATTTAAATGTTTAGATAATGCAATGGTAAGTGGTAGTATGCGCCAGTTTAGACCCGCCGGATAAAACAGGTGATCGAACCCCAATACAAATATAGGTCTAGGCTTAGGCCCTAGCCAGCCTTAGTAGAACTTATTTTGGCCGTGGAAACTGGATCCGATTGTCCACGGCAGGCCCAAAAAGAGAGGCTAGGGCCTAGGCCTGGCCTGGCCTAAACTGACAACTGAGGTTGTAAATGGGGTAAGGGAAGACCTAAGCCTAACCTAATAGTACTCATTGCAAGGCTATTTTGCCGAGTTTTACACGAACCTGAGCACATGTTTCAACTTCTGTCTTGTTAAAGCCATCGCTTTCAGCTAGCATTTCAGTTTCCTCAGTATCTCATCCAGTTCACCACCATGCAGGTAGGGCGCCGCCACCGTCAGTGTTACAACAGTTGTTAACCATTTCCCAATTTGAAAATTATGTAAAAACGTAAAAAGACGGTTTTACGATTATAAGCTGTGCTTCTGAGATTTCACTGTTTGTTAATTTTTAATTGTTTGATATGATATATGGATAAGGTGCGGCACAAGGAAAATAAAGAAAAGAAAATTATCATTGTCAATTATAGTAGAATCGTATATACAGTAGTACTGTATAATCCTTCCTATCTAGGCTATTATTTACTCTGTCATTTTTATTTCTGAAGTATCATATTCAATAACCTCTGATATGATATTCCCGTGTTATTAGGTTGAGACATGGACTTTTCCCTGTTATTTCACTGCAGATATGGTGCGGTTTTCTCTGTAGTCTTTTACAAGGAGTATTCCGCCGATGAACACACGGTAGGCTTTGCTCAGCTCTCTTATACACATCTAGATGTGTATAAGAGACAGTTATTATATGTTAGTATATTGTCTACAACAACAACAGAGTACCTCCTGTTATAAAGTGTAGATAGGTGCAGTAATACCAAAGGCTGGAGAGAAAGAGGATAAACTGAACCTGTTAGTGGCGGTTTTCATCGCTGTTGGTTTTATACTGAATAAAATAAAATAATAATAATAATAATAATTCAATGAGACTAATTAAAAAAAAATTGCGTTCTGTTATGACAAATGCTCATTTAGAATTTAGATAGCCTCCTGATGGTTGGAATACATCGTGATAGGTGAAGCATCCTTGACCATGACAACGTGGTTGACCGTATTTCATGCAAAATTTCCAAAATATAGAATTTCACTTTCAAGAATGTCGAAAATGAATTAGATGGTTACATTGCATACTCTTTGTTTCTTGTTTTATTCATTAATGTTTTGGTTTTGGAAGCTCATTTCAACATTAGAAAGCATAGGCCTAGCCTACATGAAGTCATATTTTAGTAACTCGATGCCTATCAAATAAGTAATAAAAATTCGCCATAATTCATCAAATATCCGTGGCTTCCAGCGGCCCCCCTGGACCCCAGCCAAGTGAGACTCGATTCGCTCCCCCCCCCCTTCCCCCCCCGCCCCCCCCCCCCCCCCCCCGTCAGGTCCTGGCGCCATCACTGAGTTGTAAGACTGGGAGATCAGTATAAATTAAGGGATTGTCGAGACGTAGTTTTCCAAAATGGTCAAAGCGAGAGGAGTCCTTTGTCTCCTCGGCACCTCGATATTTGTAGGGTTTCGTTGTTTTTACACCACAATTATATATAGGCCCAAAAGATAAATTAAAATATGCCTACTACTTTCGATTGTTATCAGTTTTGCAATACTTTATTTATATAATACATTGATCACAGTTTATCATCATCTTGTTTGCATGATTAATCGAAAATTTCGCAAATTGATGATACAAAATATTTATAATGTTACGTTTTCATATTTTCCATATCAAGGCTCAAGAAAGAAAACATGAGAGTAGGCAAAATGTTTGATATAATATAAATGTAATGTACAATATAGTGTACATGATAATGTACGGTAATAATAACAACCTTAACGATAATCATCATTTCTCTCACGACCACATGTAATTCTACCTAGTGGTCAGCGAGCTCTATGTAAACATGGAGGAAATATGTAAATGAGGATGCGATTCACGTCATCATGCCAATTAGGGCCAATCGCAGATTAGAGCGAGATCGAGCTTAGTTATAGCAGGTACTGCCTAGCACCAATTATAATTACTATAAACAAATCTTAACCATTACTGCACTACAAAAATAAACAAAAAAATTCTGTAATTATACATGCAAAGCGTAGCGTCACTACAGATAAGTATTTACAGTCATTTAGGTGCTACGGATGAACTAAAGTTTAGGGTTCATGAGAAAACATTTAAGAATACACAACTGAATATTAAAGTTTTGTTGATAAGATTAGCATTAGGCCTTATCCGAATGAAAGATTTCTGCCTAATAGGACGGTCCTCATCATTCACAGATGAATCTCAATAAAGTGTCACCTCGAATATATTTTATTTTTACAAATCAAAGAAAAAGCCAACGCTTTGGTTTAAGAGCACACACAAAACTCAGTTTCGCTACACAATACCATAATATCTGTCGTTTGTTTGCCTCTGCGTAGCGCCACCATTCATCATTTGAAAATGTAGGGGACGCTTTAGACAAATCGCTAATCGCTTACAGAGCCATGATAGATGGATCTGATACTTTAGCCTGTAGAGTTCTTATAGGAACTCTAATCGCCTGAGTAAAATTGAGTCACTTTTTGGTAAAATTTCTTTAAATGTATGTACAGTAATCAATGGATTGTTGTTTAAAAATGTCAAAGAAGCAATATTAGAATGGATTTAATATTCATCTAAATACATAGAACACGTTTATTAAACATTTATTACTAACAAAATAGCGAAACATATATAACAACAACTTTATACATTGAACTACATTATACAATATTGTTTTTGATCGAAAGAATGTCATTGACATTAGATACAAGTCCCCTTAAGACCAAACTCTAGCTGTACAGTAAGCCTATACTAAGTTTTGATAAATACATCTTATAACATGGTAAACGTCTGCGTATGCTTGAAGTTATAGTCGCCTCCCTTAAACAAATAGTAGGTTAGACACTTCTTAAGGAGGTACGGTAGACTATAATGCAAGTTAATTATTAATGTAAATAGTTTCTCTTAGGTTATAATTGTAAGTTTTGTTTCAATAAATACGATATAGGTGTATTGGTTATAAGCTGGTACTGTATTACAGTAAAATACAGTTGTTTTTTTTTACCTTTCCAAACATATTTCCACATTATATTTGATGCTATTTATAACAATAATCTACACAACACATCACGGAATTAACATAAATATTTTCATTATATTCAAAATGACTGAGGCTATGAACTCATGCAGGTATTTTTGTAATTAAAAGTTACAAAATAAGTTATGCAGCTGTCGGCATACGCCCTATGGGATACATAGTTGCATTTTAGTTCTAGCCATGGACACTTTTAACTAATGACATCCGCAAGCTTTCACAGTCATTTCTCGGTATTTTTTCAAAATTACGTTTGAACTTTCATCAAAGAAGAGCACTGAAATGGCGCTTAATTTTGTTGGCGCGCAGCACGGTTGTGGCACATGCTTCGGACTCATCAGATGAACTAACGTCTGCACGATGGCGTGGTTTGTGGCATTCAAGTGTCCGTTCAAGGGGAAAGCACACTCGCCATAGCAGTAGAATGCTTCATATCCCTCTGGTGCAATGATCCAATCCTTTGAAAAGAAAAAAATGAACTATGATTTGCAAAATGTGAATGAGATACTGTATAATATAGGCCTACTGTTGTTAGACCGGTAAGGCCGGTATTGTCCAAATAAAGGCATTACCGACTTTTGAGTAAAATCTTTAATATGATCGACATCGTCGTGGTCATCCTCCTCCTCTTCCTAATCATCATCATCGTTATCACCGTTATAATCGTCGTCATCATCATCATCATCATCATTATCATCTTCATCAAATCATCATCAACATACAACAAGCTTTCTTCTTTCGTTCAGTATGACTACTTCACTATGAATAGATACTGTATGAATTTATGTACAAAAAACGCTTCTGGACATAGTGGGTGTGGCTGCGCTAAAAGGTGTGAGTGAGCAAAATTGCTTAAACACATTAGCCCTACATACTGTAAGTACAGGTATCGAGATCATAAAAAATAGTCGGCTTATGCATACATTTTAACACATGTTAAAACCTTTATCCTAACTACAAAGGTGAAAGTTTAGTCAATGACGACAGGTTAAACTATAGTAATGGACATAATTTGGCATACTGTACAGCATTAGGCTGAAAGGCAGGGTCTTCTTTTGTATCAACGTTGTCCTTTATATTATCATAAGGCCATGTCAAATCGTAAAATGCCACCATTACTTCTGACATAGCCTACTTGTCAGGCTACTTGAAGCAAATTTGCAGGCAAGAATGTTTCAACTTGGCAAATAGCTTTCGTTACAGTTTAATTATGCTTGTTAAATACACATTGTTCTTCATCGAATGTAACAAAACATATAGAGCTTAGAAGGACAAGAATCTTGTAACAGATTTCCTTCAAACGTCATGACTTGTAGTTGAACAGCACAATAGTTTCAAGAAGCTTTCCTGGCCAGACAAAATCTTTGTCTCAATTAAACTGTAGAGTCTTATCTCACTTGCACACGTTAGGAATTATAATGGCTCGCAGATGAAGCACGGCTGATGCGTACTACGATGAAACCCGCAGATGAATCATAAAGCAAACAAAATGGGACTAAGCACATTGCCAAGTGAAGTGGACGCTAAACAGAACCGATAAAAACCAACAGTTATGTTAACGCTGTGTCAGTAATCTGTGACAGTTATGTTACACTAATGGGATATACTTTATGTTTTAATTTGGCATGAAAGCCAGACGATATGGACACGCTGTGCAAAAGGCCGTCCCTTTAACTTGCGTTAATTCATAATAATTTAAAATATCGACTATCTTAACACGGCCTGTGCTATTATTTCACAATTATATATTTAATTTCTGTTCCTGTTGAAAATGGACTGCTCTTCCTGTGATTGAGGTGTCGTGCAAACGCGTCTTCAACAGCCATACGTTGCGCACGACCCCACGAATTTTAAACTGCAGTACTACTGTACGCTGACAATGGAAAATATTGTATATATATTCAAAATATATGCGGTGCGTGCGAGTGATTTGTCCTACCCTAAAAACACTCACACAGTACGTAATGAGTAGGGATTAATGATTTTATAAGATAATTCCAATAAAATAATCCCAGAAAAGGACTATTAAATATTAATTTTGAAATTTCACTATGATTTAGATCGTTGCATAACACCCAGTAAAAAATCTGGAGAAGAAAGTACGGCTCCCCTGTAAAATAATCCGGTTGCCTATAAATTCAATTTATGAGTTTATTCTTTGGTTCCGTTCCCATTGCTCTGTATATCCTATCTGCTTTCCCACTTCCTTCCCACGTAGATCCGAAGGGAGCACTGACAAATTAAGCATGTGCCAATCTTCCAAATTGCATCTCAAAAAGTCAGCTATACATCGATCCGATGACCTGCAGAAAACTGAATTTCATCGAATAGGGAATTTTCAGAGGAGCAGTCGTTCTGTTTTTTAAAAGTATCCTAATGTTAGGAAACATTAGGGGAAAAAAATCAAACTCGATCCTCTCCAATATGGCAATACAAAAAACGTGAGGTTCCTCGTTTAAATTATTCCCATAATGTCTGACAATAATTAATATTTATTTTTACGTTTCCTAGGGTACGAAACTCTTTCAGTAATACTGGGTGTTATGCTTTACCAACAGATTGTTTGCGATTAGTAAAATGCTATAAAACAACTTACTTGCCAATCAAGATCTTTAAAACTAACAAACAGGTTTCTTTTCTGGCATTCTTTTTGTCGAGCTTTGTTTCCTGAATAAACACAGATATAAATATAGATTTAGTTTCATAATTTCAGGTACAATGTTTTCTGATTTCAATAGTAACCAAATGGCTCCATGGTTTATTTAAAACACTACAATATGTACATTTCAGATAGTAATAAGAATGGGGAAATTAAAACAAATATTAAGTTTTAATTAAAGTGCAAGTACAATTGTTCAATCAATGAAACCCGGAGTAGCACCAGAGCATCATTCCCTCTTCCCTTCCCCCAACCCCCGTCAACATTTGTGCCAATAATAAAGGCTATTCGAGATTCAGAAGAGTGTTTTCCCTTCTGACAAAAAAAAAAAAAAAAAAAAAAAAAAAAAATTGGCCATTACCCTGGCTGTTGTTTGAGTGGGAAAAACCTAACATCATTTTGATAATATTTGACCTTTAAAACATAAATCATCATATTCTTTTGAGGCTTCACCTTTTCTAGATTTTCCTGCTGACTCTACACTTAAAGTAGAGTCAGATCCAGATTTCTTGTTCTTTTTGTTTTTTTTTGCAGCTCTTGTCCTTCTTAAATGCGTTTCTGGTGAAGTTTTGAAAAATGCCACTACGAAAGGTTCTTTATCGTCTTCATCTGAAATTCCAACTATTCCGATATCCTTTGAGCTAACTATTTCACCTGCAATATAGATTCAGAAAAAAAATACATTGAAAAGAGAAACCTTCAAGATACAATAGGTTTTCATCAAAACTCGTATATCTCATCAAATTTATTTTAATAATACGTGACTACAATTTGTGTTGAGCTTAAATAATTGACTTAAATACGGTATATATCAGAGCTGCTTACTTTGTATATTAAAATAAATTTTCTCTCAATGCGTTTGAAATTACGAAAATTTGCCTCTTAAACATGCGTAAAACACATTTCTTATAATTTTTAAATATATCATTATGCCTAAATTTATTCGTAATTAGATTTTCATAGTAAAAGCATAGTAAAATAATTGCAAACTTAAGTGTTTCAATTGGTGTGTTTATTCGAAGGTTATAATATATTCGACAATATAGTTTGATGACTTACGCCGGATATATATACGGTACGGTATAGTATATACCCGGCGTACGGTACGTTTTGTTTTTATTTATTTAATCAATCACTTCTTTTAAAACAACTTGGTTAATGGAGTTTATATTCTTGTTGGAATATTACAAACCTCTAAAATTCTCAACGATGATCTCAAGTTCAAGATGTCCACGTGGTAATGAAGGCCAGAGCAAACTGGTCTCGGTAATGTCCAATTCTAACCAACCCTGATATTCCGCCGACAGCACTTGGTTTGACAGGTAGCGTTTCTCTTTTACTCTGAAATTATTAATCATATGGCAAGCAATATTTTAAATATGCTGATGTACTACCTTCTTTGATAATTTTAAATTTTCATAATTTTAAACTAATGTTTTTTAATAATTTTATATTGTGAATTGTATGTTTTATTTGTGTGTATATGCAAGTAATGGATCAAATTAAAGTTTGAATATTGAATCTTGAATCTTGAACATTCAGAAAAATAATCAAATACGGTATCAAATATCAGTTATGATAAACAAATCCCAAAAATATGAAGGCCTAGTGGCAATAAAAATGATAATGCAATAACGGTAATAATAATAAGGTTGTTTTTAGTACATATTTATTTAATTATGACATTTATAAATAGCGTATGTATCAACATACTTTAAAAACATTATTTCAATAAAGATTAGGCTTATTGAAATAATATAGGCCTAATTAGGCCTACGGTACTGTATTTTGGTCGAGGCATTTAAAATAGTGGCATCCGTGTCGTTCTTCATGGCGTAAACATTAACGAATACGGTATGAAATAAACGCAATATAGCCTATGAATTCAAAGACAGCTTGAAATTACTAAACATAACCTGGCTAAATAGGCCTAGTTTATGTCGGTGGTTAACCATCGCGTTAAAAATAGGCATACATGAATCAACTTTCATTATCGCTCCGTAGTTTTTTTTTTCTTCTATTTTATCTGCGGACGGTGCGTGGTCCAGTTTTGGTTAAAAATATAGCTAAGGCAATAGGTTGACCCTGTTAATTAACAATTTCCTCGAACTCATTTTAAAGATTTGGCTTGTAATCTGTACTACGTCACACAGATCTATACAGTATAGTAGTACTGTACTATGTATTACACTACATCATCGGTTGTTCATCAAAATAACTATAAAATTCTTCGCAATGAAGGAAACGATGTCTCCTCTTTCTATGTTGGCAACAATGCGCCATTTCGTATAAATGAATCATTCATTATTTTATTCATCTCAGAAATCACATTCTTAATACATTATTCGCTACCCAAAGGTCGTTGACTGCTGTAGTATGGCTGGATATAATAACTGCGTTTTGCCAAACTTTATTGATGTGTAGAGGTTCGAGAGTAATATCAGATTTTTATGGATTAAGTTCGTACCCGTGCCAACCACAATAAAATGAACTTCTTCGAGTGGGTCAAGCCTCTGACTTTTTACTATAATTCCGGAATGTATATAATTAATTCAATGTCATGGGGTTAAATTCTGACAAATCCTACTACGGCTCTTTCAACCACCCACGTGACCGATGATATATGGCTAGATATGTTTATATAATATTGTTCAATCCTTGACGGCCGATGTTTCTAAATACAGAGGAAACACGTTTAGATCCGTGCTTATATAACATATCCAGTTGACACTTTCTCTATTAGTTTGGGAGGGAAAATAATACTTCGGGCAAAATCAGAAATAATCTGTAACCCGATAATTTAAATGGGGATCGAGTTCTTCTGGGAGTTATCATGCCATTAATTATAAATTAAAGTGCTTTACCTGCACGGTACACACAATAACATGTGTCGGCCCTTTTGATATTTTTTTTTCTGGATTCTCCTACCCCCGCGATGATCGTTAGTTTTAGAATCCCGCGTCCAATTTTATTTGTCCCTGATTCTCGTGTTGTTATTTTATTTTATGTTCGATCATTGCACTACATTTGTATTTAAAGAATTTTATGCGAGACCGCAATGACGCAGTGTAATATACTGCTTTCTCCCCTAAGTGTACTGTTGAACGGCTGGAGTGTAATATCGCCACTTTCATTGTTTATAAATAAATGTTGATATTTTATTTTAGGCCTAATTCGTAAATTGAGCTTATAAAGGGCACACATTTATATTACATGATTTCAGTGCACTTTAGTGTCCCTTTATCAAACGTTAGATCAGTAATATTTGCTTCATTGTTCTTGTTTGTAGGTCTATGGTATTTAAAAATAGTATAAGAATATTGTAAATTAAATCAAGTTAAATCCCACATCCAATACATAGGATGTGTAATTAAACCTATACCACACGTTTACCATGCCTCACGAAACACTCCGGGTGCTCCAGGCTCCAGTTCGATTTCACCTTTACAGTACCTAAAAAACAGTGGCATTAGTCATAGGTCCTATTTCAAGAAAGAAACATTCGACATACCCAGAATATGCATCATGTACTATCTGATATACAGTCAGTGTGTACGCTCCGGATAATTCGTTACTGAATGTTGCAAAACGCTTAAACAGACGTAATTCCGCCGTTGTTAGAATATCGTCCATAGAAACATCGCTTACGTCAAAATAAAATCGATATTCACCGTGTTTGGCCACAGATCCCGGCTTATATTGAACTGAAATGTAAACAGAATGGTATACAGTAACATTTATTACTAACATAATAATATAGCATTCATTAACACTTAATTAAATAGACCAAGTCCTACAGAAGAACACTGATTCCATCGAGATTTTGTTCGGTTGCTCTAATAGTACCAACTAATATATTCAAATAGAAATATTATATACACAAATGAGTGTCCTTTAATTTTTAAAAAGTCAAACATCTTGATTTGTAAAAAACGTTTGGTCAGGAAAAATGATCAAATACTGTACTACAGTATACGTTTTTACGAATTGGCTTGGCCAACTTTTGAACCACGAAAAACGACCTCCATGTAAGCTGCGACGCCACTTTATAGTTATTGAACTTCGAAAGCATGGCGGCATACAATTTTCTATAACTCTATTGAGAATGTATTGGATTTCTTAAAATTAATAAGTATATAGAGTTGTTTAAGCCTGTTCAACGCCCTGGTCTGTTTAACACTCGTATACGCCGACACGTGTTCTGATCTAGTTTCATGTATTGCAACAATGTTTTATATGTGTTTACGAAATGAGTGTTTAGAAAAATTACTTTAAACATCTTCAACTGTTTCTATAAGCTTCATAAAATGTATCCACCCAGCGCCTAGAGTTCAAAAGAAACACGCCATTCTATTATTAATCTGCGTTCCACATAATCCAATGTCGAACTTAATTAGGATGATAGGTGGCGCCATAATAAACTTTTTTTTACAATTTTGTCTTGTATTTTATAATTCTATCTATGCATATTAGTACAACCAGATTTAATTCTCGAAATGCGACCAGAGATATCCCTGTGGATTGGTGGATTTGAGTATTGGTGAATAGTGGCCAGGGAACCATTGCGTACGGTATACAAGAAATAATTAATGATTCTGACCTTTTTTGTGTGGTTGGGGCTCACACAAAATTTAATTACTTAACTTCAACCTGAGTTTTTAAGCGACCTATATCCCATGTACTGACTTACATACCATGACCTTATTCTTTCCATTCCATTCATTATATTGAATCGAATTCATGTTACTTAGTACTTTTACACACACACACACACACACGTATTGTATAATGTGATACACTTTTTTATATAAGAACCAGTAAAATTTTGCCCAGGATCAGTGTTCATTTTTTTGAGCCGATATCAGGCTCAAAATGTTATATTTTGTTCTTATTTTTACGTACTTTTCAAACATATAGAAAATTATTATTTTACAGTCAGTACATTACTTTACTGTATTATAGGCCCTATTGTATTATAGAGGGTATTGCATAGTCATACCTAGTGCAAATAAGGATAGATTTGTTGGTTTTCTATTTAAAAAAAAAAATCATCATTTGACATTTTACTTCAGCCTCAATTTATTCTTATTTTGTCCCTAATTTTTAGGAGACTTTAGTTTCAGTGTTCTTATAAAAGTGTTCTTATAAAAAGTGTAGCGACCAAAGAGTATTTTCAGCAATAATAAAGTAAACTTATCTATCTTGGTATCTTGTGTTGGGGCCATATTCCATATTTCCTCTGAAATAAGAGGCCTACCAACAAACTTTTCATTATAACTTACGAACTACGGGACGTTATCTTAAGTATACTTTATTTTATGTGATTTTATATTTTACTATAAAATACAAGTTTGACAGCTGCAGAAATATGACTTTGTTTTCATGACCTTTCAATACCACAACGAGTCCACCAGGTACCACATGCATGAACGCAATGGATAAGCTAATTTGTACCAATACAGATCAAAATAACATTCCTGGAAGTTATAGGCTATTCGATTTTAGCAGGTCGTAGAAAAATGTTTAACGTGATTTGATTTTTTTTTACATAAGAACGAATTAAACACGGATGAGAAGTGGGTAAATATAATATCAGTTCAACACTCACTCAACAATCCGAAAATGATGCTAATATATAATTTAACAATTAAAAAGCAATGAAGCCGTAGTAACTATGTTAAGATGATATCAATATTCATGAGTGTTTAGCAAGCTACACGTGCACCCGGGGCATCTGAGTCAGCTTCCTATGCTTGTCACATCCAATTTATTTCGATGAATGTTGAGAGTTTCAACTTCCTGTTGATGTAAACAGGTTGAATCCTAATTCCTAGGCCTATATTGTTGTTATCGAACATCTTTTAAGGTAAAAAAATGTTTAACACTTTACCTAGAAACGGATGCGGAAAATAGGAGGGTGCTACATTCATTTATGTTTTATTGTAAAACAAAAATCTTCATACTTCTTTGATTTTGGATATTAATACGAACAAAAACAGTTCTGGTATAGGATATACGTAATATTTATCACACTATTTACCCATACGATAATACCTGTAATTGTATTTCAAATCTGGCTTGTTCGTGAACCTTCACCGAGACCCTTCATTCGTTTCATGCTTTAATGTGATTAGTTAATTTGTATTTTTGATACTTTTAACACCTTATTTTCTACATTAATATTTATCCCTTTAATATATTCAATACGTTTAAGCATTATTTATGCTTTACTTTTATATAATAGAAATTCCTTTGCGGAGATGTTATTCAGATCCGACAGAGTTTGCCATTATTTAAAAACATAAATTGTGTTAAGTTAGATTTGAGAAATATAATTCAATATTTGAATTTCTTATTTCATATTACTCAGCAAACACAAAACGTTATTATAAAGTTCGCGACAGTTGTGGATAGGTACGGCATGTCAGAAGTGATGTTTACACGACTTTACGTCAGTTGTGAAATTACGTTCTAAATACGTATAGGTCTATAATAATTCTACAAAAAAAAAATGTTATGTACACCGCCAAACTGTTGTGTCTTTCAGTCTCCGCATGGAATAAGACCTTTAAATTTGCTGGTAAGCATTTTAATGTTTTCATATTGAAAATCTGTATTAATCAGCAAAACCTTTAAAATGAACATTTCGATCTGTATGTCATTGAATGTTGACGACTTATAAATGACAAACACAATGTTTTAAATGATTTTTGTTTACACTTTATTACAGACAATAGATGTATCGTACCGGTACCTAATAAACGATGAGAAAGCATTGACGTCTATGGAGCGCTATGAGCCGGGGGTGCCATTTCACACATAGTTTCCAACCGTCTCGCATCGTACGGGACGGTCCCGCGTTTCAAAGTGATTTTGGTTGAAACACGCATTTTAGCACAAGTCGCGTGATAACAAATTATCAGGAATTCAGGATGTATTTAACATTAGAAAACAATGGTTTTATTAAAAATATAGAAACGGCCATGCAGTAACTTGAGTCATTAGACAGTATGCCTATTTAAGTGAATATTTCATTGACGCGTTACTAATTGATCAGTAGGCCTATGCCTATACATTTTGTGTTTGTTTAAATAAATAAATAAATTTGTGTAAGTAGTTCAGGTGCTCAAATTAAACATAATTTACATTGAAACTCAAATTTTACGTGGCTTTATTAACTGGTTTTGTGTATGTAGCGTAGGCCTACCCGGAATTTCAACAAACACACCCTGAAATCGTTTAAAAACAGATTAAAAATGCTCAGGTCGTCGGAGCACCAGGGGCCCTCGCTCTCTGAAACCACCAGAGCTCTGCCTCTCTCCCCGCTCCCTCTCCCCCTCCCCAACCTCCAGCCAACTGGTGTCACGCATTTCAAATCCCTCAGGTTGGTAACTATGTTTCACATCAGCAAGTAAACTTGGAGACTGCAGTGAAAGATAATACCTTTGTGCAAACTTCAAAGAAACCGCTGGTATCCTTGGTAGAGAAAGCATGAGCTGTTCCATGTAATAATACCGTATCGCACCAAGGTGATGGTTTTAGGCAAACACTGAGTGATTCAATTCTGAACGGAAATCGAATAAAAATTGTGTAGTATTTCAAAGGAGCCGACCAGGTGCTATGAGGCAGGTGTAATAGTAAAGACTGCTTAGTTTGTAAAACGCTTCTACTACAACGGTGATGGCGATGATGGTGATCGTGATGATAAATTAATATTCGAGTGTATGGGTCAGATGAGGCTGAAATTCCAATTCCTGGTGGTGTTGTGAAAGTTGTGGAGCCTATGAAATAAACTCAGTAGTCCTTTTTGTCCAGGTTAGTTTTGAAAATGTTTTTATAAAACACATCCAGTGCAGCAGGTTTAATTCTTCTTCTTTATTGTATACGCAAAAAAAAACCAAACAAATGGTATACAATAGGAGCCAAGAAATAGACAAGTCTAATCGAGCTTGGCCCCTTTCTTAACTATCCCCCTCAACCCCAATAAATAAAATAGAATAAAATAAATATATAAATAAAATAATGAAAATAAATAAATAGGCATCAATCTTCATACTCGGAATAAAGTAGTTTTTTCAGTTTTGAAACAAATACATTCCTCGAGGTAGTCTCTCTTAACTTAACAGGTATCTTATTCCAGAGTTTAGCACCCATATAAGAAATTCTAAATTTACCTAAATTAGTTCGGCATTTTGATATGGCTAAATTATATTCGTATGACAAATATTTTCTAAATAATCAGATAAACTATGTGGTAATCTGTTATTAAATAAGTCTGATATAAATTTCAGAATATATAATTTATGAAGCTTAAATACGTCTAAAATGTTAAGTTTTTAAAATAAAGGTACAGAATGAGCCCTAAATTTAGAAAAAGTAATACATCTGGCACACATTTTTTGAGTGAGTAATAAAGGTTTTAAATGCGATTCGTAGGTGCTGCCCCATACCTCAATACCAATTAATTTACATTCTGTGCTTCACCAATAAAGAAAAATGAAAATCCTTACTCTGCTGCAGCTGCTTGGACTGAAGTTCCGACCTCATTCGTTCGGATTTAGGTGATTACCAAATTTCCCTTTCTAATTCCTTATAAAAGATTGTATCGTTTAATTTCAAGAAGCATACGGGCTTAGCTCCAAATCAGTTTGGTCAATTTGAAATGTCAGCCGAAATACATATTTTGTTTTGCTATTGAGTAATCAGTCCATTTAGAAACACGTAATGTTTTAGGCCTAACAAATTAAATTAATTTTATTCTTTAA